GACAGCACAAGTGACCTAAATTATTAAAGGTGACCCTGTCATAATTTGTTTCCAAAAAGAGATTGCTGTTCATTATCGGCCTTTTCTTAGAACAAGTTAGCTAAACCTGGGGTGAACGAGAACATAGGCGAGTATGAAAATAAGAATAGAGAGTGCAGCAATAGTCTTTTGGGAAAAAAACAGGAAGTTTAGACCAAGTAGTAGCAGGCTATTCCTAGTCTAAGCTAAGCACTGTCTTCCAAAGGGAGGCCTCAGCTGCAGAGATAAGACAAATGAAGAATTCTGAAGAGAGAGATAGTGAAAGGTCCAACTGCCAGGCCATATGTAAGTACCTGTCATTTTATAAAGTACATAATAATATTAACATTTAAGTGCTTATTCTGTACCAGGCTAAGCTTTACTCATTCAGCCTTTATCGACATAAGAACTCCGAGAGGTAGGAACTAATATCCTTCTTGAATGGATGAGAAAACTGAGGCAAAGGAAAGTTACATTGTTTGCCCCAGGCCATGCTGCCAGTAACCAGCAAGGCCAGCACTTCATCTTAGAATCTCTGACTCCAGAGTCTCTGGACTCAACTACTGCACGGAGTGTCCTTGTGGTTATGAGGTAACCGCCAAGGCCCTCCTCCCTGGGCTTCAAGGGCCCGGGGGAACTTCTGTACAGCCAGGTCCCAGCCAGATGACAGAGAACGTCAAACAGAAGCACTACTCTGGTGTCAGTACTCTGCATGGGGCTGGAGAAACTTCTAGATGAATAGAAGGTCAGGAACTGGATAGTCAGAGGGGATTTTGTTCTGATCAGTCTCCAGCAATGCCCTATGCCCTCCATGCTCCAAAGCTGGGCAGCATAGTTAACTCAGGGCACTGAGGAACTGTGGATGGGCTAGAGAAAGACTTGCTCATTATTCTCAAACTGGTTGTGTAGAAGCAATGGCAGGCCTGAATACTCCTGGGATCATTTGGAATAGCTGGAATGGGACGGAGGCTGGTAGCCCTAAATAAATTTGATAGTGGTTTAAGGAGCAAAAAATCACTTACAGCGCAGATTAAACACAAGCATTTAGAATGATGTCTCCCTTCAAGCTTCGAAAGGATAGACATTTATCAAAGGGGAGACACTGAATCCAAACTTGTTAAATAGTTTATTGATGCAGGTTAATGACTATATTAAAGCGGTACAGATTAAGCACAGCACTGAGTTTATCATAGGTTTATTAAAACAGATGGAAACATCAAGCTAAATCTAATCTGAAATCCTATTTTTAAAAACAGGTTTTGATAAACAAAAAGTTGACAGCAAGAATACAAGACAGCAAGGAGGCTGATTGCTGGATGGAGTGGTTTATCACATTTATGAATGAATATTTCTGCTCAATTTTTAATCTAATTAAAATATCCCATATCCACTGAAGTCATTTTCACCAATTGTGAAAAGAATAAAATTAATCTGTAATGCAGAGGTGAGTAACCTGGGTGGCCAAATGCTTGTAACAGATATTTCACCCTGCATGGCTTATCTTGCAAATACTATATCCTGCAAACAGTTCAAAAATGAACGTGGGCATGCAATCCTTTCTGAATCCATTAAGATTATCCTTAAGTCACTAAGATACTTGAGGATACTCAAATTTGTTTTTCAAGGGCAGCAAGGAGGGAAGATGGGAGGTTAAAAAAATATGACAACTAATATAATCCTTGTCCCTATCATCGACTTTCATGTCATGAGTATACAAGAGAAGCTGAGAAAATTATTTGAGAAAATATGGTAAGAATGGTAGCAAGTTGTAACTTTAAGAATTGGTAAGGAAGTTAGGCAAGTTTCGGCAGTACCTCTCAGCAAGATTGACATACACAGTCTATAGGGCAGACCTGCTTCATTGGACGCTGTTAAGCTAAACCTTTCCTGCTCCCTACCCCCAGCCCCAGAAACAGGAAATCAGTTCCCATAATTGCTGTCCAGCAGAACCAGGCTGATCTGGTATTCTTTGGCTTGCCTATTAAGAAGTGGCTTCCAACATACAGCATAGTGAGTATAGTTTAAAATACTGTACCGTAGACATGAAATCTGCTATGAAAATGGATCGTCAGGATTCTCACCACAAAAAAATAAGGGTTAAAAAAGTGATGAGAATAGAAACAAACAAACAAAAAGAAGTATCTTCCACACTCTCATGGGTTATGTACCAAGGCCTTTGCCCTTCTGTGACTTAGTAAAATGATTTACTGGTATTTTAGATCAAGTCGGTTATTTCATCAAAAATATTTTTATTACCTGAAATAAACCTATAGGCCCAAAGTTAAATGCTGTGACTCCATTCCTTTCTTACTTTTAGGAGCGGTGGTTGAGTTTCTGAAAAGATACTCAAGCACTTGAAAAAATTTTTTTTTAATATTTCTACTCATTCCTTTTAACGGAGCAAAGTTAATCTTTAAAGAAATATGTTGATCTTTGAATATAAATATTTTCAAGCCATTTTCATAAATCATTGCAGCAAGCAAGATTCTCAAACATTACCCCCTGCTCTCTCACACTCTCACTGGTGTCTCTGTCTGCTGTACAAGTCTTAACTTCCCTTTGGAGGTCTAGCCTTGTTATCTTCCCCTGTCTGGTGGCTGGCACACCATGTGACAAGCTCCCTGTTGCAAAACTGTACCCTAAATCACAGGAAGATATGAAACTCAATAAGTGTGAAACTCTTTGAGTCCAAGATATTTGTTCTCATAAAATCGTGTGTATTCACAGTGTACATTTGTCTCTGAATATATTAGAAGCAGCCATTTAAGATCCAGATCACTGATGAACTCACAACAAGAGCTGGAACTCTTAAATTAGAGGGTGCTATATTAAGAGAAAGCCCCTCTGAAAGAAAAGAAAAGGAATTGGCTTTCCTTCCTCATTTGTTTGCTCTGAGAACTGAAACATGTCATACTTCTCCTTTCTCTTTAAAAGAGATTATTAGGAGTATTCTTTATTCTTTTTTTTTTTTTTTTAGGATTATGATGAAAACAAAGCTTTTACCTAGGGAATCGGTGAAATGCTTGCTTTTTTCCAATCTTCCATTGACAACTGAAGCCATACTCTATTCTGGGGGAGATGAAGTTGCTCTTCAGGTAATTTAAATTAAAAAAACAAACAACTGATTATCAGTGTCTGTAGTTTAGGAAAATATATCTGCTAGTATGCACAGGTCACACAATGAGTTCTTATTAATAGATATAAAAATTATGGGTCCACTTAAAAATTTTATCTTCGCATTAAACTGATGACCTTCAGCTACTGCCTCCTTTACGCACTGTAAGATCTTTCTTCACAGACTCCATTTCTACTTGTATTTGTTTTAATGTTACTTTTATTGGATTGATAGACACAATAAATGATTTTAAATTTCACCTGATTTTCATCCTGAGAAGTTTATGCCCTGTGCCCATATGGACAGCTTCAGCTAAAACACACATCTACAGAATGATGAAGGTACATTTAAAACAATGGATTTCTCAGGTTTTTGCCATCACTGGATTTGTCTGGAATAGTGAAAAGAAGGTTTGGGATTCATAGAAAACTGTGGGTGAGTGGTAAGCAAGAGAAGATTTGGGATGTGAATGGAATGGGGCTTAAGCTCCAACTCCATCACTTAACTAAATGAGCTACTTTAGCTCATGTTTTAATCTGAGTTATAGTTTTCTCTTCTATAAAATGAGGATCATAACAATTACAAAATAAGTGGCAGTTATTGATTGCTGTATGTCTTATACCATGCTTGGCACTTTCCTTACTTTATATAAAATCCATGAAATGATCCTTTAAGATAGAAATAGTTCCTTCTTTAAAGGAAACTCAGGCTAAGAGATGCCAAACAATACTAATGAGGAGTATATCAAATCGCATACTCTAAAGTATGCACTGCATCGGGGAGTGTTGGGTGCCGATCAAACGGGATACTGAATGAGAAAGCACTTTCTAGATGGTGTGTGCTCTACTCAGCCACACCTTAGGTGTTTTATATATGAAGAGTGCTATTCCATAACAATGCATTTATTCACAGCTATTTTCTTTCAAGTGTAATCTGCTTCTTTGAAAACTCTTTAAAAACTATAAAGTGGGGCTTGCTGGCATGTGGGACGCACTAGCATAATCTTGGGAACATTTGCAGAGCTTGCTTTGTGTGCCATTCCTCATGCCCTAACAGCATTCTTTATTAGAAGAGCCCTGGTTTTGAAATTGTATTTATTAATTTATTAATTTATTAATAAATACAATTTTCTCTCCCATTTTTTCTCTAAAGTGAGGTAGGGGGCATAGGGTTGACAAATTCATAATTTTTAAATAAAGAATATATTTTTTAAAAGACGTATCACCAATTATTATTATCATTAGATAAAAAGAAGGAATATTTTTGCTCCAGAAAGGGAAGAACAGATCTCAGAACAAAGTGCAATCCTTTAAACTGAACATGCTTGGTGGTGGACAAACTCTTGACATGGACTTTGATCTCTTTATTTTGCTGCCAGACAGTGAAATGGGTCCACATGGGTCATCAGATGAAATTGGAGAACTACTATTTTAAAGGCCACGTGGAACCCTGAAAATCATGACAGAGCAGCAAACAGACCTGGGTAAGAAAGCGTGTTCCGCTTTTTGTAGCACAGGACAGCATGCTACTACCATGCGCTCTGAGGTTAGGCTGTTTACGTTTAAATTCTGCCTCCGCTGCTTGTGGTTATCTCATTTTTCTTTAAGTCTCTAAGCCTCACCACTCCCTGGAGGTAAAATGAGTATAATAAAATACTGTGATTATTATGAGAATTAAATGGGATAATTCATCCAAGAAGCAACATAATAAACCCTCAAAAATGTTAGTTTTTAAATTAAGCTATTACTAACATAATTAGTAGTAGTAATTATGATTACTTTTATTCTTATTTCTTCTTATTATTCATTTCTTTAGCATCTTTCATTTTCAGCTTTCCCATCTGTAAAATGGAAATAAAAAACACCCAGCTTGCAGGGTTATTGTGGAGCCTAAATGAGATAATGCATATTTGTACATAGCACAGCATTTATCAGAAGCCCAGTAAATGGTAGTCATTATTATTTTGTGTGACATTTCCCCTCCTTCTTCCCCTAGTGTATTCACGGTTGGCAGATGACTGCTGGCTTCTCCAGGTCCCTCTTCAGTGTTCTACCTGAAACTCTGCCACAAACTCTAGCCAGTCTCTCTGTCATGTGCCTAAAAACTTAACTGTCCCATCTATTGATCCCTTGAAGTCCTGAATGGATCTGAAAACAATCCCATCAACAAATTGCCTTGGGAAAATTCTGAATGTTATTTAAACAAGCACACTGAGACATTGTAAAAGCAAAACACATTCATGATTATCACTTAAAAACTCAGCAATACCTATTTTGGAGCTCTGCTTAAAAGTATTGTGAAGAGGAAAGATAAAATGACAAAGACTTGAAAACAAAAAAATCTCCAGCTTGGAAACAATGAATAATGGTAAGACCAGATAATCTTGTTTTCTCTCCTGCCTAAGTCTATATTTTCATGCCCATGAGCCTGGACAACTCAGGGAGTCACCCAAGGTGCCCTCCATCTCTCGTACTTCTGCTGCTAGTTACCATGGCGGTTATGTCTGGACCCTGACCCTCTTTTATTTACTGTTGGGTAAGGTCTGGCCAACTGAAGGCTCTGGCCAGTGATAGTATCAAAAGGAGGGATAAATTCAGCTTATATTGCTATGATCTTGGCTCCTTGATGAAGAATGTCCTGTTTTCTTTTTAATATACACCTGTCATTCCAAATCTAAAATTGTCTGATGCATCATAATAAGGAACTAGAGTAGCCATTCCCTCCTGTTCCCTCCAAAATATCTGATTGAGGGGAAAAATTTCTGTGATACTGGAGAAGTTATATTTCTTTTATGTCTTTATCTATATGATGATAGGGAGGCATTACACTCTTTCGAAAACACACAAGTAGATCATGGACTAACATAAACTAATATAACTAGGACTGAAGAATCTGAATGAAGTCAGGGAATGGGTACACATATGCAACATTGATGGTGAGAGATAACTTTATTGACAAAGTATTAAAATTAGGGGTTTTATCCTGAATCATTTAGCTGAGAATTTAAATAAATATGAAGAAGGGCTCAAATGTATTGTCCTTGTTATGCTAAGAGGTTGTATAAACTGGAAATACAAAACAAGCAAAGGGGGCTTGGAAAAATCCATGACTGTTAAATCAACAGAGGAATATAAAAGAAAGTAGGTGCACCTGTCCCGGGTCAACATGCTATCGCGAGTTAGTCTGCTCGGAATCAGACTTCCTTAATCCGTAAATCGGACTGTTCTTTGGCTTTCTGGCAGAGAAGAATTGGGGCAGTATCTAAATGAAATCTATAATACAATGTTTATGAAAGTTTGAGCTTCTGCTAAATTGATTTGACTAATTTACCTATCTGATGTGGTTACCTAAACGAAACAGAATGATGAGTGCTCCTCTTCTACTAGAGATACTGATTAATCTTCAAAAGCGTTCAGGATGAGTTCCTGTGTTAAAGATTCAGTGAGTTGTTTTTTTTTTGTCCTGAGATATTTTGCATCACTGAGAGTAATATAAATATTATTTTGTAATATTTTGAAACTGATAAAGAGCAAAGAGGATCCTGAGCCCTTTTTTCCTTGAGTACTTAAGAGTACAGCATCATATTAAATTGACAGAAGAAATGTCAAGAACAGATTTTTTTCTGTCTAGATTGAAATAAAACAAATAAAACTGTTTTTCCTTGTGCCATATACACATTTTTCCCCCATAAATTTGATTACACTTCATACAGCTTTGGAGGATAAAACTATCTTACTTTCTGGTGCATTCATTTCCCTTGCCTGTAAAATGATAACCCACTGCTGGAAAAATGACCTGATTCACACGGAAATTGGATAATCTAATGTCAAGCAGTTAGGTTCTAGATCAATATTCTGTGAAATACCCCTGAAAACTTATGTTTTCCATCCTTTCATTATTCTTAAAATGAGCCATAACAGTGGAGGGAAAAAAAGCGTTAGACTAAAACATGTTACACAATAGAATTCATGAAACATTTAGAAACATTAAATAAAAGAGCTAAAATTAACATTAGAAAGGAAAATAACTTCAGATATGGTAAATAAATTAAAAACATATCAGAGACAGTCAATGAAAATCACTTGCAGCAGGCTGAGCAGCTTGAATGTGGAAGCACACACAGACTTTCCTTTGGGAATTTGAATAGTCCCCCGTCTCCCTCCCTTGCACAAGTACACAAAGTGCCAGCGTAGTCACCTCATAGGGAAATAAGCCCATTTAGAACACGTGGAAAAGAGTTGTCATGCTCCAAAATAGATCTTGGAAAGTTTATCATCTCTAAGTGAGTGAATAGGAAACTTGACCATTTTTAGACTAATTAAAATTCAATGTATTTGTACTTGCCATTTTTAGACCACTTTTTTTTTTGTCCACATCACTAAAACCATGTATATCATGGGTTTCTGACTAATTTTCATGTAAGTAACCAAAATAGTTTTGAAATTCTATTTAAAACCATGTTTTGTTAAGAGTTGTGTTTTGCTTTTTTTTAAATAGAAATTGCACCTTTAAATAATAAAACAGATTAAGTTTTTACATTTATGAATGAGATGTCAACCGGCAAAGCACAATTTCCCCTTCTTATAAACCACAGGGCAGAGTGGAATACTGTTAGCATGGGTATATCCTATGACAGCTATAGAGATTAATATTTAGCACAAATAAGGAAAACCACTATGTAATTCCTTTAATTTTCTAGGAAAAAGAGAGAAATTCATGGATCTGTTGTTGAAAAAAATGCAAAAGTGAAAGATTTTATTTCATAATAACAGAACTTTGACTGTTAAGCTTTTAACATAAATGTACAATAAGCGTATTTCCCTTTTCGGATTTACTTACTCTCTGAAGCCAGACCTCCTTGGTTTCTTTTCAAAATCTGTCCTGGATTAGCTGTGTGCTCTTCTGTAGGTTACTTACCTGTCTGTGCTTCAGTTTCCTCTTTGTATAAAGGGGATAATAATTGCACCTACCTGAGAGGGTTGCTGTGAAGATTAAATGTATTAATACCCATAAAAGGCTTAGAACACTACTGGCTCTTAGTAAGTGCGATGTAAGTGTTGGGTGTTATTATCATGATTATCATTATCATCATTATTGAAATATTTCAATAAATCTATTTTATACCTAAGTTTCCTTGAAAGTTATTAATACACACTTCTCTTGAAAACTAAAAATTACACTTTGCTGTGAAGCAGATATTGATCAAAGGTTCCCATCGGGCTCTGTTTAGATTAATGCCCTGTCAGTCCCAACACCGAAACTTAATTTCTAAGAATCTGCCAGGTACAAGCTGGTTATAGTCACAGGGTGCCTTGTTAATTTCAGTCAGTTTTGCATATTGCAACTGAAAATACTTATTTTAAAATCCCATGTGAACCAAATTATTTATGGAAAGTTCTTCAGCATTTTACTTAAAAATGCCTACCTTTATGCACAGGCAGTAAGGCAGGCAGGTGACCACGGTGGTTGGTAAAAACTGCAGGTTCAGCAGAGGCCATGAACAGTAGATACAGTAAAGAATATTTATAAAAGTGATTAGATTTAAAACTCCACGCATCCTCCAGGGGTGACACAGACTAAAATGAGCTCTACGTGCTTGGGCTTCTACCTCAGCAGGTACCAGGCCCACTCAGACGTGTGCATATGACACCACACGGTCAATCCCACTGTGAACAGCTACATCTAAGGGGAGATTTGAAAATGATCAGAAAAGCCCACCTACCCCAAGCCACACCTGCAACAGTACTTAAAATTCCTGTTACCATATTACCTTTCAGAAAAGGCAGATTTCCCAGACTGTCAGCAGGATATTTACTGCGGGTATGTCACAAAAAGGTCTTGTGGCTACATGAATTGAGAAATGCTGTGGATGGATAAAATTAAACAAATATATACCTTCATTTGTTAAACAGATACTTATTGAGTGCTGGGAATTAAGAGTCCACAGGGTGGATCTCACAGAATTTATATTCTAATGCAGGTGATAGAAAATGAAAGAGACAGAAACACAAAATAAAATAATTATAAAGTGTACTAACTATTATGAAAGAAATAAACAAGGAGCTGAGAGAGAGAAATTAATAGGGTAACACATACTTTAGAAAGTATGACTGACTGTGGTGGACTTCTTTGAGGGAGCAACATTAAAGGGAAGGTCTGCAGTAAGAGAAGCAGCTAGCTACATAAAAAGGAGTGAAAGGGCATCCCAGACGGAGGGAGAGGATGCGTGAAGGGTGTGAAGAGGAGAATACTGTGATGTGCTCCAGTGAATGGATCACGATCAGTCCAGGACTAAGTAGTCCAGGTAGATGATGGAGCAATAAGGCTGTGACAGCCAGGTCACAGAGGACCTTGAGGCCACGGTGCGGATTATGGGACCATGGGTTCCAGTGTGGTTGGAAGCCCTTAAATGGTTGTGAACAGAGGGGAAACCTGATCTAATTTACATTTTAGGTGGTCAGTTTAGGTGCTGAGCAGAGATTGGGTAGGGGAAGGGTGTAGGGGCCAGTGAGCAGGCCAGCCAGGATGCTGCTGGAGCAGTCCGGGCAAGAGATTAGTGGTTTGGCTACACTGCTGATGGTGGATACGCAGCAATATAGACTTCATGGCTTTTAATACACTTATGTGTAGCACAAAGCTTCAAGTTTGATAATTAAGATCCAAACTGATTTGCTCAACGAATGTGCATCAGGAAATGCCAGGTTCAAGAATGACCTCTTGTATCACTGGTGATGCAGTTTTTTTTTTCCTGAAGAGAATAAGGGTTTATTTCACTATTATATTACCTGCAGACAGCAGGGTTTGTAGGAATGAGGTAAAAGAAAAGCAACTGACTATGGGGGGTTGCGCAAAAGGGAGCTGAGGGAGAAGCTGTGGGAAGACTCAAGCAGTGGGGTTTGGGGGGTTTTTCCTTAGGAAAGCAGGCTTCTGGGGGAAAAAAGGTATTACTATGAGTGGTAGGTGCTTGGAAAACTAAGAGAAAAACCCCAGAGACAGGCCTCTTATGTAATATAATCCAAGGCCAGTCTTATGTATGGGTTTGACTCTCCACGTTATCATCTATAAGCACATTCTGCAAATATTTGTCGACAAATGCTCATGATTCCCTGCAACTCTGCAGACTCTTCAGGGTGAGCACTAGACTTGGAGTCAAAAGGCTGGAGTTTTCATGATGGCACTGTCATCTACTGGTGGGCAAATATGTCATCTCTGCCTCAGCCTGCACTTTAATAAAAGCATTCGACTCCTGATCAATAATAAGGATAAGGTATTAGTTACAAAGAAAATGTATGGCATCACCTGAAATACTAGGAATGCCTCTTTACCAAACTGCAATGCAGCTCAATGAGACAACTTCCAGTGTTCATATTTGCTGACTCCAAGTTGCTATGCCTCAAATTTCTAGATTATTAATATTCTAGTTGCTAAAAAGAAATGCCAGTTTCTCATTGTCCTTCTATTCACTAAAATGATATATCTAATTTGCAAGAAGACACATTTTCCTCATTGGAGGCAATTAAATTATTTTCATTTTGAATGGGAGAAAAAGCAACCCAGTAAATTCGTGCTTGAATTGGCCCTTGAGCAACTACGACTGTTCACCACTTTGCTGGGATTTTTGCCTGAACACCATCTTTGCAGTCTATATGATGTTGAGAATGAAAAAGTGTTCTAATAATGTGTTGACCTTTTAGCCCCGTAGAGGGCACAGGGAATGAGATGCTAAAGCCATGTGCATCATTGTGCTCCCTGTGCCATGAACTTCTTTGCGTCTTGGGCTAAAGAGATCCCATCTTAATGTGTTTAAACACGGACATTTTCTACAATACACTCTCATGCTTGCAAGAATTCTGTCCATCAGACATAAGATTAGCAACAAATAATTATGCTGAAGTTTGGGTTAATTAATGTATGAGTCGAGCTGATTTGAAATTTAAATTCGGGAGTGCTGCACTTCACCTTTCCTTTCTTCCCTTGTTGCCCAAGTTGACTTTATGAAAACCTCACTATAGGGGAAATTTCCTCAAACGGCAGAGCTTTCCTTTATAAAAAATCATTACCAAAACGATGTTTTTTTCCTAGTATAGTCCTGGAATAAGTGCTGTTCCCTTTAGGCTCCAGGAAAGGAGAAATACAGCTCTCACCGTTGGCTGACACCAAATTTATATTTGTTTACAATAAATTCATTTGTTTAGTTAATAGAAATAGACTTGGGTCAGACATGAATGCTTAAAATTCTAGAACTATAACACATTTCATGTTTTCACTGCCATGCAGGAAATTCCTGCTTATGTGCGTGGCTACCTAGAATGTCCACTTGATATATAGCACGAACCTGGAATATTCCAGGATATTCCAAATTGCCAGGCTCTAGTTATTAGGTAGAACCACAGCTCCTGCAGCCCCACTGGGTGGGAAAGCTGTGCTCAATACCTCCAAAGAAACTGACTTAAATGTCCATGGAGAGGGGCTGGTAATTTCATCTGTTATTAAAGGCTCTCATCATGCAAGATAATTAACATATACAATTATAATAAAACGATTTCTAAGTCACCATCAAAATGTCATTTGACTGTAGCAGTGGAATAAATAAAATTTAGGTTGGAGTTCCAGCTCTGCCTCTTTCAAGATCCATGAACCTCGGCAGGTCCCATCAGCTTTCTGAGTCTCTGTTTATGGATTGGGACTGATAAAATTCCATAGGACTGCCGTGAGAAGTGACTAAGCACCACTGTATTCAGCGTAGTAGGAGCCCAGTGAATTGTAGCTGTTTTGGTTAACATTTAAGTCATATTCCTAAAGTCTAAAAGGTATTAACTTGCTGATGATCAGTTATTCAAACAATTTAGAATTAATTGCTTCCAGGACTCTGATCCATATCAGAATCCAAGAAGGAAAGTCCTCCCCCCTTTTTTCCCTGCCTACGGAGAAATAAATACCACCTAAGTAGCTTTAGCCTCATGCAAGAGGCAGGGGAGAAGGAGAAGTATGTACTTTGTGATTAAGAAAGTGTAAAGAGGCCGGTGGGAAATGGTTCTGCATGCCTAAACGGAATGCTGTGTTCTGAATATGTAAGCTCTGTTTCAAATGCTCGGTAAAGAAAACAGTTGGTTCTTCAAGTTAACAAGACTCAATCGGGAAATCAGAGCGTTCGAGGAAGAAGGTTCGAAATGTGAATGTATTATTGATTTGAGAGAGAAGGGGCTGAAATCTTTGGGGCAATAGCTAGGTGATACCACAAAAGAGAAAAAATTTAAGCCTCAATGTGGCAAAAATAATTTCAGGGGAAAAAAAGTTACTATATTTATGACCATATTTAGGTAAGTTTAACTCATTTCACTAAGAGAAGAGAAGGTCTCTTGTGTGTGCTGGAGTTAAGATGAATATGGGACTCTGTCCTTTTGAACCTAGTAGGGAAATAAGAAGAAACAGACATCCACAACAGAAAAGGGAGACTAAAACACCATAAGACAAATAGAAAATGGTATAATCTGTGATCCAAAATTGGTGTATTTCACCTGAAAAATTGGCCATCCAAGACTAAAAAAAGGAAGCAGCATTTAAGTTAAACTTATAGGGGATGGTCAGATTTCAAAAAGGGGAAATAAAGTAAGGCGTGCATATGAAACTGACTGAAATTATTGTGCACACTCAGTGTCTCCATTTCCTCCCTCCCTGCTCTCAGTTAAATTCAACTGTGATCTCTCCTTATCCCATTTGATCTACCTCCAACAACCTGCTTAGGTGCCCGCTTTCTCCTCCCTGGTTTCTACAATACGACCTTTCCTTGCGTTTCTTCCTTTCATCTAGCCTTTCATCTCTGTCTTTTTTGCTGGCTCATTTTCCATTGTCCCTTAAAAAAATTGGTTTCCTGAAGGTTCTGTCTTAGATGTTTTTCTTTTCTTTTTAATTTTTTGCCTGTTTTTTCCTTTCTTTTCTTTTTTACTCTGTATACGTGATAGCCTCCATTCCTGCACCATCAGCTGGAACAGATAAACTTTTGTCTCCCAAATCTATACCTCTAGTGCAGAATTCTCGAGACACAAATTTCTGTATCTGTTTCTACTGGACATTGCCACATGGATAAGCCAAATGCATCACATTCCAAATTAAATTCTTTATCTTTCTTCCCCCAAATATTATTTGCCCTATGTGAATGATGCTCACCTTTCCTATTATCTGTGAAAGAAACTTGGAACTGATCACACAATCGGCCATTTCCCTCATTCAGCCCATCTCAAATTTCTGTCATTCACCAACTATCCCCGTGTGCCCCTATAATCTCCTGACTGTTTTCTTCCCTTTGCTGTCCCCGACAGGGTGACTCTAATTCTTTCTCCCCTCTGTTACTGCAATAAGGTATTCTGGTTGGTCCTGGCAAGGTCGGCAGGGCACCGGTAGCAAAGAGGCTCACATGCCTGCCATGCTAAAGGGTTTACATTTCATCATAAGGACGATGGGGGTCTTTGAAGGAGTTAAAGTAGGAAGTAGGGGTCTTAAATAATCAGATCTGCCATTCTGGTAGATCATTCTGGTTGAAAGATAGAAAGAATATTAAAATGAAAGGGGGTTGGATACAAATTAGCAGGAAGCCAGGAGCCTTACTGCTCTAACACGGGGCTGGCTCGGCAAGACTACCTCATCGGAGCTGGCTGTGCTTCTTCCGCTGTGCCTATGGCTCCGTGCTGCTGCCCGGTGTGGTGTGATACCTCCAGGGTACCTCTGGATACCTGGTGCTTCCTAAAATCACCATGTTGTTTCAAGCCTCCAGGGCTTTTTCAGTCTGGTGTCCTGCCTATAACACACTTTAGCTCTTCCCCTCTTTCTCGGGCTCATTCTTTTTTGTTATTTCAACGCTGAATCATGTCTCCTTTAGGGTTACCTCCCTCAGAAAGCTTCCTGGGTGTCCAGCTGGGTGCTGTTCCTCCTTCCTTCCAAAGCGCTCCTGACATTTCTCTATTGGAGTACTTACCACATGGGCTCCTAATTATCTGTTGGTTTCTCTGTCTCCTCCAGTCCCCAATAAGCCAGGAACTGTAATTTGCCAAATTATCCCCAGACTAGGACATAATAGGCATTTAGTAAATATTTATTGAGTTTTAAAATATAAACAAAGTTATAAGGATGGTACTTTGTTGGATGTGTTATGGGGGAATGATTAATACATTCGGAAGGACCGAGGAAGGTAATGTTTGAAATGCCAAACTCTGAACTACCAGAAAATAAAAGGCAGGGACTGGGAATAGGGATGCGAGAAAAAACCAAAGCGAAGCAGCTCTGCAACTGAACCACCGGTGTAAAGGGGCCCCCTCACCACATACCCCAATATTCAGGTATTAGAATATAAACTGAAGCTCACACACACAAGGGTTAGAAATGAAGGATGGACTGGAGTCAATTTTTGTAGACCACCACGGCTTCAGAACTGGAATTAGGGAGTTGCTGCAGTTTTCTACTTGACTTGAATAGGAAAGATAAAATGAGATTATATCTTGCAAACTCTTAAACGCTAGGCTGAAGAGTGGTTCTATGTCTTACGTTCCCTGGGCCATCACTGAATAATTATGAACAGAGGGCGACAAAATGGAGGCTTAGAAAACAAGTCTGGCTGTATTGTATAACACTGAGTGCGTCACACAGGGACTAAACGTGACTGAATATTAGGAGAATATTGAAGTATCTTGTTAAAGGTAATAAAAGCTTAAATGGAGGGGGGGTGTTGGGGTGGCAGTGAAACTACGAAGAAGAAATATGCATCATCGTGGGAAAAATTGGGAGCAGCCTTCAGACTTGAGAAGAGAGAGGAAGATATACATTTGCAAACAGAAATTTTAATGAAATAGAATGGTTAAATATTGATTACAAAAACAGAAACTATTTCATGGAGCCAGGTACTGTATTTTTTTGAGAACAGCTCCTTCGGTTTACAGTATCTGTGTTATTCTTTTATGGAGAACACCAATTTATATGCTACTTTTAATAAAGAGAGGCTTTTCATTTGAACAGAGACATAATCTTATACTTCAGGTATCCAGAGGTACCCTGCAGGTTTCACGAGATACGGCAATGCATGGACCATGGGCACGGTGGCAGAACCACGGCCAGCCCCATGAGGTAGTCTTACTGAGCCATTCCCATATCAGAGACCTTGAACTGTACTCCTTGATCCACTCTTCCTACTCTGAAGTTATTTTTCCTTAAAAAAATACCAAACTGCATTCCAATCAGACAACACTCTTTGGAAAAACAATTCAAGAGAATTGTACTTATGAATATTGAGGAATAGATTCTGATGACGTTTTCTATCAATTCTTCCCCTCTAAATTCTTGCCCTCTGAAATTAAAATTTAAAGACCTAAACCCTTTCCATATGACTAGTTACCTAAACTCATAAAATGAAGCCAGAAACATATGTTAATATTATTTTGTGTGTTTTGATAGAATGGAAAACAAGTTATTCCATTGTGACAGAACAAAATATTATCACTCCGGGTGGTAATACTCATCATATGGATCTCTGGAAGATCATACTAACTTTGAAAAGCACACAGTTGTCTTACAAAATAATGCTTTTAATTATAATTAAAATCGAAGAAAATCTCATACCTGAGTGAAATATTACTTATGTATTGGTCATTCTCTATTAGGCACAAAATCCTTGAGGATCGGACAACATTTTTTTGTCTATGTATCTTCAGACTTAATGCAGTGCTTGGCATATCATAAACAATCAAAAATATTTTTTGGATAAATACCGTTTTAAAAATACAACACTTACATAGAACCTACTATGCACCAGGCACCCACCCGAAGTGATTTACCAATATTAATTCATTTAATTTCCATTAGAAAAACCTCATTTTACAAAGGAAATTAAGCTACACAGAGGTTAGATTCTTTGCCTAAAATCACACAGCTTCTTAGGAGGTGATGGAGCAGGGCATGAAATGGAAGCAGAGGCATGCCAGAATCTGTGCTCTTAACCAATACTGCTTTTTAAAAAATGCTTTCTTTAAATTAAAAAATATCTATAATATATATATATATAAGTATATATTTTATTACAGCATTGAACTTAGAATAAGAAGACCTGGGTTCAAACACACATTAAATTTACTTGGTTTGCAGCTTTGAGCAAGTTCATTAACCTAATGGGTCCTTAATTTTCTTATATGTCAAATCAGAATAAAAGCTGGTATGTCACAAGGCTATTGTGAGCTTTAAAGAAAACACTTCATGTGAAAATACTTGAACACAGCCGGCACCTGGGAAATGGTGTTTGGTGTGCCAAGAAGTAAGGTACTATTTTCTCTTTCTCTCCTTTCAAAAGGCTACATATTTGCACATTAAACATCATGCAGGTCTTAGCAAAATGAGAGCAAATTCTATGTTTCATAAAGCATTGTTTCCAACATCTCTTAAAGCTAGAGTTAATTTACTAAAGCATTTTCTGGACAGTCCGATAAGCTTCAAACTCAATAGCTTTGTTTTCTAGGGAAAAAAAATAAAGTTTTCCCCGGAAACATTTAAACATCTACATCAAGGGAAAACAATCTTTCTTCTAATTGGGTTATCAAGATATAAAAATTTTTTTTAAAGAAAAACAAAGCTTAAACCGGCAACAGAACAAACGGCATTTATGTTCCAAGACCCTCCGACATTTACCTGCTCTACCAAACCCGACGGTAACCACTTCGGTCAGTGGTTCCTGATAATGGCTGCACAACACAATCTCATTAAAAAACATCAAAATGCAGACCCCTTCCTCAGATATTCTGATGTAATTGATTTGGGATAAGGTCTGGGCAACCATATCTTTTTTGAAAGCTCTCTCATTGATTCTAATTTGCAGCCCGAGTTAAGGATACTGGTTTAGGTTATCATTGAAAATATCACCCTTCTCCAGTTTCCACTTCACTTTTGTCTAATAAAAGTTAACAGTAGAAAATATCTTTATTCATGTCAACACTGAAAGAGAAGTTCACCAAGAATAGAGTTTTCCTCAACTCCAAGCACCATGAAACAATAAAACTCTAAGATTATTTACATGTTCTTGTGAATAAGTTGTAATAAGAATTTCATGTTTACTACGCTTAGTATGTTGGTGTGGTCAATAAATAATCTTAGAGCATTTTACAATGACTATTACTCTTGTGGCTATAGTTCCTGAAATTAACTGTAGACTAGAGGCATGGGACCAAAGCAAATCCCGGCCGATGGATGTTTTGAGCTATGTTAAAATACTAAATAGAAATGAGTGCCTACTGAGAATACTGACTTACACTGCAAAGATATTTTGCAAATCTAATCACCTTAGATCCTCTCATAATGCTAGTGTAGAAAACCAGCAGTTTTGACTTTTTAAAGATCAGTTCTAACTGGGCACATAGTAGGCTAGCAACATGCTATTAAAAACCATACATTCATTAGAAGTCCCACAACACTAAAAGCATTTCTGTTTTGTCTCTAATGGGAAGCCAAGGTTACACAAATGTATAAAATATTTGCTATTATCATCTAAGACACATTCAAACTTGGACACTCTGCTATTTGTAGATTAGTTTCAGAAATGACATGGTCACACTTTGGTTTATTTTGAACATTTCACTTTCAGGCACCTAATAATTTAAACAAATAGCCTTGAACAGATGATTTGGTTCAGGTTAACTACGGCCGTCAGAGACTTCTGAAGATCGGCAATGGAACCCTGCCTTCTACTCTTGCATGTACCATGTAACACTAGGTTAAAGCTTTCAGAGAGAGATTTTCTTGGGTAGATCTGCAAAAGAAAGCCTCAATAATGGGTTAAAAATCTAACTGGATTGTTGATTTTTGACTTTGACCAGATTTACTTGAACCTCAAGGAAAATTAATGTTTCAGGAAGAAGAATTAATTTGTTAGAGCTTTTCTTGATGTCTTTCACCCAGATGACATCTTTGGAAAGAGCATCATGAAAAAAAGAGTACCCTTTTGGAAACTGCGCACAGAACATATTTTTCCTAATAGGTGTGAAGAATGGCTGCTATGCATAAATGATTGTTGGAAAATAATTCTCTGTAAAACATGACTTAACAAGCAACTCCATTCACCACTGTACTCATTTCTAGTATCTAGAACAACCATGACACATCACATAGATGCCGATATTATCTGTTTGTTAGTAAACATCTTTTGGAAAAAATCCACAACTTTCATCCCATAATTTTCATACCCAGTCAGTTGGAGAATAAAACTTTTGAGGGAAAATTGATGTTAACAGCATAGTAAAAGTCACACGAAATCCGAGGATGCTTCAGTATGAAACCCTAAGTTTTAACACCTGCCCAGGACAGCTAGCTTTTCTTTAATCAAGAGTAAAGAGACAACTGAGACTAAGTCGACCCTAATCAGAACCTCAGGCATCACAATCAAACCGCAGTTTTGCAATCAAAAAACAAGGTACCTGGCGCACCTTCACCATTAATCACCCCCGAGAACATCCCAAAGCTTTAAGTCCTGGTCATTCCGAAACCCTCCTTACCTGGAATAATCTCACTGGGCGGCCGGGCACAGATCAGGAGAGGCGAAGGGCATTCGCAGGTGGTGGCTCCAGAGACTTAGGACCTCAGGCTCCAGGGTGCATCTCCTGGGCAGGAGATGCCAGCCGCAGGGTGCGGTGCAGACGGTGCGCACCTCTCCAACCCAGGAAGGTCCGGAGCGGCGCGGCACAGCCCACCCAGTCTGGGGGGCTGGCCGTCCTAGGAAAGAGCAAACTGCGTTAGTCCAGAGCTCTTCCTCTCATGCCCTACTCCAAATTTCCTGACACTTTAATTCTGCCTTAAGTGATCGTTTATACCTAGTCCCAGTTTTTATTATAGGCTAAAAGGCAAACGCTTTATCCCCGTGCTTGATTTCCACCTCCCCAAAGTCCAGGAGGCTCACCTTCCCGGCGCCTGCCTTCTCTCGCTCAGCTGTGAGCTGTGCGCAAACTTCTCCCGACTTAAGTCTTATACTCGCCCGCTCCCCCGCCCCACCCCGCCCGCCCGCCCCCCCACAACCCCGTCAGGCAGCAGAGGAGGTGGCAGCGGAATTGATGAGCGCCAGCCCCCCCGCCCCCCGAACCCTCCCGCCCCCGTCAGCCCGCTCTTGTCCCTGGAGAGGGAGGGGGAGCAGGAGAGCTCCGAGCGCCTCCGCGCCAGCCCCTCTTGCCCTGGTCCGCGAGTGGGGCTGCGCCCAAGGCGGCTGCTTTGCTCCAGTCTGGGCTGGGGCTCACCCCCACGACTAAAACGTGGTGTAAACACGGGAAGCAGGCGAGAGACCCTAGTTAGATTTGAGTAGAGAGGGATGGGCTGGGGGATTCGTAGCCTGTCCCCGGGGAGAGCTTTCTGGGAGTCTTATCCCCCTCCCCAGAGGATGCAAATTCTGGAGGGAGGTGAGTTTCCAAAAGAACCCACCTCTAGAGACCGTGCCCACCTTGGCTCCTTCAGCCACTGCTTGGGGGACAGCACCACCTGGGAGCCTGTGGAAAGAGGGTTTGTAGTGGACGAGGTGGTGAAAAGTGGGATGGAGAAGGTGAGAAAACGGTTGGCTAGGATCTAGGGTGTGGAGAGGAAGCAAGAAAAGGAGCTGGGAGACAGGAGGAGTGAAGAGGATCTTGAGGGTCCGGAAAGCGCAGGGAGAGCGTTCAGAGTTGGGCAGCTGTCTGGAGCTGGAGGCGCAGGCTGGATTTGGGGGAAACAGCGCCCTGCATGTAGGGGGCTGCGGACGGGGACAGTAGCCTACCGGGAATGAGCACAGTGAGGAAGTGAGGAAGACGGGGGTCTTGAATGCCTGCCTCTTCCCCACTAAATCCTTTGATGCCCGGAGGAGCCCGGGACTATCCGATTCCAGGCAGGGCGCTACCCGGGCTGGCGGGAGCGCTCTTGGAGGCGGGCAAGTTGGTTCCAAGGACGCACAGGCTTCAACATCCTTTAGCCCACCGCTGGATAAGAGAAAGACAGCAGCGGACACTTTTTTCCTAACTCTGTTCAAGGGGCTTTGGGCTAAGAAAGCAACATCCCGCCGTGTCCCGGGACTGCAAGGTGGTCGTGGACCGTCCAGGTTACCAACACTATGTACTCGGCAAAGGAAATAATGGTAACAGCAACCAAATAGGACGGGAAGAAAGCCAGACGGCAGGCAACACAGCACACTTTCCGAGGCAGTGCGAGTTTCTCCTAAGCACTCAGACGACAGAAGTGCCCTGTGAATGGGACTGCAACCTGCACCCATCCCTTCCCTGGAGAGATTACACTATAGGCAAAAGGTGCGTGTGCTTCTGTCATATTTTGAACTCCCATTTCCACCCTAGGGGGAATTCAGTGACCTCTAACTCATGTCACTGGGGGCTTTCAGGGGAAGATAGAGTCCAGGGGCAGATCAGCTCTCCAAATAGACCTTATTAGGGGTTTTGTTTCTCAGGCTCTTTCTTTCTCCCCTCCATAACACCTCCCACCATCACCACTTCCCTGCCACCTCCAGTCTGGTGACCCAGTGGGCTGTGTGTGACTCACCATGCATTCAAACCCTACAGCTCCGCCCCACTGCAGGGAAATATTCTACAGTCCCTTGATTCTGGGGATCTAAGTGGGAATAATGCATTTAGCAGTATGAACAATTGTGACTAGGAAAGGTAGCTGGGCAATTGGGAGAGGAATCTCGCAAAGGAACACACACACACACACACACACACAGAACAGTACAAACAAAAGCTATACAAAAATCTTCTGAATTCAGGACATAGATATGAATACTCACTCTGTGCTTTGACATCGTCCTGGGTTCAGTAGCTCCCTGCTTCCCAGCTACTGCTGACCAGTTAACACCTGACCATGCCCTCCTTTAAGAATTCTCTTAGGTAACATTAATTATCCCTTTTTGGTACAAACAAGCAGATAATTATTAAAGTTGTTTGAGTATTTCCTATGGTCAACTTCTGGGGGCCAAGCACTGAGAATTTCCTTATTGTAACCCAAAATCATGGCAATAACATGGAATCAGGAGGATTTTTGTTGAGTGGAGAGTGTTGCTGTCCTTTGCACTGTGTGTTGGAGCGAGCACAGGGAGATTTTTCTGTTGGAGATTAACCCTAGGGCACCCTACATCACTGATTGACAACCAGTATTCTGAAAGCCAAAACAGGCTTAGTTCTGTAAGGCGACTGAAGGTGTGTTTGACACAACCCTTCACCATAACTTAGAGACACAAAACAAAAGTCAAAAAATTAGTGAGAAAAATGGCATGAGTGTATTATAAACCTTAAACTGTGAGTGATACAAGCATAAGAGACCCAGACAAATTAAAGCGCTAATTGTACTAGAGACAATATTGAAGAAAAAAAGGTGAGTTCTCTGCAGGCAGGTTTCAGGGAAGATGACATGGGAGAAATGGGATCAAAAATGAGGCTCTCTGGTCTCTCAAGAGGATAAAATTCACTTTGTCAGCCTCAGACGTTTATTGAACACCAAAGGGGTTTGCACCTGTTAGAAGCACTTGGAATCTACAGAAATTTAACCCTACTGGTGTCTTAACACTATCAAAATATTTTGTGTATAGATACAGTGTTGTAGATCCTTGGAGAGTGGGTATTAACCAGGGGATGGTCTGGTAAGAGGACTTGGCAGTGTTTTTGGAAATGCTGTGAGGCCATTACTGGGTTCCGAAACCAATTTAGAGGGCACAAGCTACATTTTAAAAATGAAGTGGAGTACAATAGAAAATAGTAGATTTGTCTCCTGTGACAAGTCTGAGCATGGTTTCTCGAAACTTATGTCTTCTTTATATACATATCTATGTACTGAGATACAAAGTAAAGTATATTTCTTTCTGTAACTCACTATCAAAAGTATCTTAAGATACTTGTTTATAATAAGTGACACTTTATACAGAATACCTTATATTTGCAAAATATGCCTTCAAATGAAATTAGTTCATCAAAGGGGCATTCAGAAACATGCATCTTAAAATGTGATAAACACATCTGAAATTTTCTCTCACTAATCATTACTTTTAAATTCTCTGTCTTTATGAGACTTTGCTCCTTTCCTTCTGCCCCTTTTCCTCTTTAAAAAGAGTGGCTGTGTGACCTCTCAGCCTTGTCTCTCTAGAACAAGGTTTACTCATCTGCAAAACCAGAATTCAGACCATATCACTTTAATGCCATTTATGGTTCTAGACTTCAGTGATTTTTCCATAAAATCATGAAATTTTTGAATTGCAAAATTCCTTTCATTTGAAATGAAAGGAAGATAGCCCTTTATTAAAAACGAACTCTACTAAAGCTTGTTCTTGTTAAATATGACAATGTAAGAGAAGGTCACATTTTGGGGGGACTGAGAAAAGTCATGCATATAAAAATGTATACATTCTATAATATTTGGAAGAAAAATCATTTATCAAGATAAGTGGATTCAAGTTTGTTCTCTTCTGAAAAGAAATTTAGAGAAAAGATTTCTGGCCTCTCTCAGGAATCCAGTTCCTAGCTTTAGTTAACTCTCCAATCAGTAAAGTTTTCCTTACATTGAAATACAGCCCAAGCCCTCATACATATGTGCTGGCAATTTAATGCATACTCATGTCATAACACATTGGCCTATCAAACCAAGGGGGGCCCAAAAATACAGTATGTAGCCCCTACTTTCAAGGAACCCACAATCTATTTGAGGACATTTGTTTCTTCCTCTTGTAGCCTCCTTCCAAACTGACAACAGCTGGTGATTACCCTTTATATAATTACCCATCACAGCTTTATAGATTTCATCACCACAGAAAGAATAATAATTCACCTTGGTGAAAAATATTTTCTGTCTGAAGCAATTTGAACTTCCATGTGATAGGTTAAGCTCTCTTGAGGGTAGTCCCCTGTTTTGATTTTCTGCCTCTTTGCCAGAAATAGGAGCTGATGCACTTATAAGTCTCTCCTCTCTCTTCATCTTTCGAAGGGTAAAACACAGTTGTGTTTCTCTACAGAACGTGTCTCCTGGCAAGGAAAAAACAAATTCCACTTAAGCTAGGAAGTGTCTTTCCAGATTGTACTTACATAAACTTCACTTGGGTTAACTGTTTACTTTATAAATAAATAACTCAGGGTAGGAGGGGATAGTGGGGGCATACAACATTAAGTAGCAGTGGAAATTACCTGCTCCATCCCTGATAAAGTTGGGAAATACCCAGATACTTCCTAACTTCTAGACAGAATTCTAGAGGAAAATTCAGGATCCAGGAGAAAAACTGCAGAAGCCAATCGTGCACGCATTTATGTATCAATTCATTTAATAAACAGTAATTGAGTTTAAAATGTTTACATTCTAGTGGGAGGGTGTAAAGAAATAATAAACAAAATAAGAAATAAGTTGTTGATTTCAAATACTGACAATACTATGAGGATCATGGGCAGAGGACCGAGAGGCAGGCACAGGGTAGCACTGCCCTCGGATGCTCAGGGAAGGCCCTCCTCCAGCTGAGATGGAAGTGAGAAGAAGCCAGCCGTTCTGAGCTCCTGAGTAAAATCCTCACACAGTGCTGCTTTGGCCCTCGTTAAATGAAAATAAATACCTGGAATCTATTCTTTTTATGATTGTGTGTGTGTGTGTGTGTGTGTGTGTGTGTGTAAAGGGCTCTCTATAATTCAGTGATCAAAAATCTGGGAAAGAGGAGGTGTCTGACTTTCACTAAGTCAGGTAGGGAGTAGTAATTTTTTAGTATTTTTTAGGAGAGAACCCTCACATGGCACTAGCCTTTGGCTCGGACTGTCTCAGGGAATGTTGGCAGAGTGCTAAAATGCAAGAGAGTATACACCTTCCCTCAAAACTAAAGCAAAACCTGACTTTAATAACTACGACTATTAGTTTTCCATTTTCTGATTAAAAATCAATAGCTTTATTGAGTTCATTTTATTGAATACCTACCACCTACTATATGCTAGGCCTTCAATGCATTATCTTCTTTTAACTCTATGAAGTAGGTATGATTATTATTCCTAT